TATCAAACACCTGGTTGAACCATACCAACCAACCCAGCTCATAAAGACTATGAGCCTGATTGTCAGGCAATTGGATACCCATGAGAATAGCCCATAGCACAAACTATCTAACGGGTTTATATTCTAATGGGTCTTTAGCAAATTAACCTTTGGGTTGCTGTAATGTTCCTTTAACCCGACCATATATTAGGGCTCTTTGGTTTGTATCTTAAAAAATAATATTTGAAAATTATTTTTGGGAAGAGTTTTAAGAAAGTGTTTTAAAAAGTTTTTAGATTATAAAACCTAATTGGTTATATATCTTTAAAAATAGTTTTAAAGAACAAAAACTATAAAATTTATTTGGACAATAATCCATAATTTCCACAATCACTACCAAAACTCATAACCACCAAAACTCACAACCACCACCAACACATTGAACCTAGATGTGAAAGAGAGAGAGTGCACTCACCTATGTGTGTGTGTGTGTGTTCCGATCTAAAGAGGCAAAGTTGATTTGGAGAAGACGGTGGCTCTCTCTCTCTCTTCGTTCTGTTTGAGAGTCCAAGTGGAGAGAGAGAGAGTCAAGCAAAAAGGAAGACAAAAAAAAAGAAGGAGAAAGCCTCAAAAATTTTGTTAGAGAGCTCATTAAGCTCTTTGCTCTTCGTGTTTTCAAAATTTTCAACAAAAAAAGCTAAAAAGAAGTCTAGCTTGTTTTCTATTATTGTGCTTCAAATTTTCTTTTTTTTTCTAAAATTTTGAGAATAAAAATGTTGAGCAAACAAGTTTTGAGTGTATTTGAAATTTTAAAAACAAAAAACTGTTTTTCATTGCATAACTAAACAAGTCATTAGTTTTTACTCTATTATATAAATTACATTAAATTATTTAGTCTTTTTTTTGTTTGAATTGAAACGAGTTGATGTGTCGACCATATTTTGTTGGGTTAGCCCGTGGTGCCTAAACCGTTTGCAAATCTATCCACATAACATAACTAAGGAATTGTTCACAAGCATTCATACTAATTAATTCTAGGGTGCAACTTGGGTCAACAAACTCCAACCCAAATTCAATTAGGGTTGGCCTTGGGTTCAATCTGAACCCGACAAATTAAAAAAAAATTATATATATATAAAGCATTGGAACTGATTTTTTATTTTTGGTGTGAAAGCAGATGATCAATAATCGTGCACTGTTATGAATGAAATATATGGATTATGTTTTATGAATTTGTAATTATGTTAAAAATTTGGTTGAAGTTATTGTTTGTTAATTTATGTGAATATTATGTAATATGCATTAGATTTAGAACAACAAGCTTATTTTAGGTTTTATCCGAATTCAATCCGAATTGAACTCATAAAGTAGTCCGAAATTATTAATCCAAATTCAACCCGAATCCGCCTAAATTAAACTCGGGCAGTGCTCGGGTTGAGTTCTTCAACCCGAGGTAGGGTTAGAGTTGAAAATTATACACTTAAGGTTGAGCTAGGATTGACTGTCTAACCTGCCCGAGTTGCACCCCTAATTAATTTAGAAAAGAGAAATATTATTGGGTGGATAATTTTGAAATTAAATACATTATTATCGTTAGATGAGCAGTAGTATTATTCTAAGATTAAAGATATTTAATGATCAATCAAACAATCATAATAGATTAGATTTTTAAATTAAATGTAAAATTATTTTTTAAAAACTACCAATAAAATTTTAAAATAACGATGCAGTGGATTAGATTTTCGCTATTGTGAGGTAAAGAAAAAGTTAAATATACATTATTTTACTCCAATTACCAAAAAGAAAATATTTTTACAACTCTAACCTTTATATCCAAATCATAACAAAATAATCTTCCTGAAGTAAAACAAAACAGCAAAGATTCCTAAAGGACAGGTTAGCTTGCATTGGCCTCAGTAACTCCCTTAGTTCAACGGTTAAAAATATTTTGACCAGTTTACGAATATTATATTGATTAATTTTCTTCTTAGCTCGATTAAATACAGATGATTCATATCAAGACTAAAGTATTTATGAGGGATAAATCACTCATAGTCTGATTTCAAAGGATTGTCAAAATTCAAAATAAAGACATTTGAGTTTACATCTCATTTCTATTATTATTTGAGATACCTCTGTAAAACCACTTCAATGAACTGTAGATGCAATTTTGAATAAAAAGGTAAAGGAAATGTTATTTGGACTTAAAATACAAATTTGATATTCACAATCATTGAATAAATAGTGAATTATAATAAATACTATAACTCATAATAAAATTAATAATTATATTATCAAATATATTTTTTAAATTTACGTAAAATTACTCAAAAAATAACAGTAGGATTTTCAATGGGGGTAATAAACATTTGAGCGGGAGCGGCGGATCCAGGTGAGCAATGGAAAGGAATCCAAACCCGACAGAATAATATGGTCAAGGCGCATAAAAACAAACGGCGACCGACATTAGGCCGTGGGTCGTCGTCTGTTCAAAAACGTCTGAAAGTGGCATCACTGACTGATTCCATTTCCGGTGTCCATTTCCTCTTGGTACTAAGATGCTCTTTTGCTTTGATCAAGACACCCCCTTCATTGTCTCCTTTACTTACTCCATACATGCATCCACCCCCC